GACCAGGAACTTATTAATATTTCTGAGTCTGAATGTACTTAATCACTTGTGTTGCATTATGAATCGCCCTCTTTTTCCCTGGAAGTTTCCATGGCAGAGAGGGCTGTTCAGGGACTACTACTAAGAGATGCAGAAAATCGGAGTACGAAGCAGTTCTTCAAATTTTGCACAGATTCACATGAAATATTCCCTATTCCTTTCAGGTCATTAGTTTAAAAGGTCCTTAAGTTAGGATAACTGTGTTAGTCAAGAGAAAGCTGTATTAAGCAACTTGAAAATTGAATTTGTTATCGGTTTTATGAAGATTGCTTCAAGGGTGCAGAATTCTTAATAACTTTCTTTTATGTTGAACTGCCTGCTGCAGCCTTTTTTGGGAAATAGAAGGAGCTGCGGATGAAATGAATGCTAACGTGTCTGCTTCCTGGCTTTACCTTAGCAATTGTATAACTGGCAAGAAATATAAAATCCCTTTTTTGCTGTAAATCAGCATCTTCGAAAAAAGCCCTGGGACGGTACAATGCATTACAGTTATTCTGTACTGTACTAATGGAAAACAGAACACTGAGCTAATTGAAAGGGCAATCATACTGTATTTCTGAAAAGTCAAGATAAAACAATTTTTCATAATGAAAGAGGAAATAAGAAATGTTTCTGGCATTCAACACAGTCAAGCTTTTATCTAAGTTTCTGCTAATATTAATCTTTGTGCACAGGCTGCTAAGGTTGAAACGTCTGTCAGCCATCCATTTCCCACAGAGGGTGGTTTCTTAGGTTGAAACGTCTGTCAGCCATCCATTTCCCACAGAGGGTGGTTTCTTAGCTCAAAAAGGGCTTTGCTGGGAAGGAGCATATGGGAAACCTCTAAGGAAAGCAAGACTTTTGCTCATCAGCCCTGACTATTGCAGGTGCAATTGCAGGAATCACTGCGGCTGTGCTGTAGCACACAGTGCAGGGCACAGGAAAGTATGTGCTGCCCCAGACGTGCCCTGTAGCCAGCACCGAAACACATGGGCTGCATGACTGAAGGCTGATAATACCAGTGAAAGAAGATTTCACATGTTATTATTTCTTACATGATAGAAAAAAATTTGTTTCTGCCAAAATACATTGTTGGGTTTTGGCTACTGTGAGTTTCCTGTTTGATTCTTCCCCTGCTTTTCCTTTTTATGCATGTTGATTTCTTTCTATGTGACCTTAGTTTATGCAAAGTCTTAGAAATCAGTGCTCAAGGAGCTACTGTTCCTCCCTGTGCTGGCTTCGTATCATTAGTTTGAGAACTGGCATTGCAGGGTTTGCAGGGGTGATACAGTACAATATTTAATGGTTGCAGATCTATCACTGGTGAATTTTGAAGTATTTCTGCTTTAAATCCATCTTTCCACCTTAAATCCATCTCATTAAGGGCTTTGAATAACGAAGTGGGGCAGGATTCATATACAATTTAGGAAGTAGTGATGCTGAATGTTTTCTTGGAACAAAGCAAGCTCTCTTCCTTTCATGTTCGGCTCTTGCTAACTCTTCACTCTTGACACAACATCAGACTCACTCTGTGAATGCTAAATAGAGCTCAAATGCTGTTTCTCAATTCTGACAGCTTTCTATATGAAGCACTTTTGTGTTACATACAGGCTTATGATGCCTGGCATAGCTGAAGTGTGTTCTGTGTTGTCAGAGTCTGCTTAATTAAATGTTGCAGTATGAATGTTGAGAGAGAATCCAGACAGAAATAAAACTAATGGCACCTTAAAAGAAAAAAAAAATAAAAGAAAAAGAAAAAAAAGGGGAAAATATACCAAATAATTGAAAATATTTGCTTAGTAGCTATGACTTAAAATTTTCAACGCCATCTGTGGGATTTGAACACTTTAACCATGTGCAGACAGTTGCAAGCACTAATCTAAATCCTGTCTAGTTGCAAGAATCTCAGCCCTTTGGTTGTCACAGAGGTGTGCCTCAAAGAAGAAAGGAGACTGAAAATGTGGTTTGTTTTTTTTTTCTCTTTCTGGTATTTAAAGAATGAAATTCTTGATTTTGCTGCTGATATCTGATAAATAGCTCATATTAGGTTTCTTAATGAAAATATGGTTTAGGGGAAATCGTCATATATTTATGGGAGAACTGCTGTCAGTGCCAAGTGATAATGTACTCAGACTTTTCTGTGTGGAGAGCGGGCTTCTTTTATGCTGTTTGGGGTAGCACAGTTGTCCATTACCATAAGGAATTGTGCCTGTCAGCTGCACCTGCTACCATTTTGTTTTCCTCTTCCAAGTTTAGTAGAGAAGCATCAAGAGCTAATTCATGTAAATATTTGAGGAAAACCACAATGAAGCCTTTGATGGCATGTATAGTTTAAGTTTTGAAGGATGACTGTACTGGAAGACATGTAACACATTGAACAGCCATATAACAAGCTCCAACATCACTTCGAAAATGGTTTTTAAGGTAGTATTAATGTTTGCTGGTGGCTTCTGGGTAAGTTTTCATTTGAGCTCATAAAACCTACTGCTTTCTTGGTGGATTTAAACCCTGATTTCAAGGACTTTCCTGCTTAACTCTGAGGAATTTTTTCATTCCTTCCTGAACAGAGGTTTCAAGATCAGGAATACGAGACAGATTCAAGCAAGAAAGTAAAGTACAAAACCTGCATGTATTTGAAAGGGGTTTTCTGTCATCTGTACGGATGAGTGTACATGACATATTTTCATATCTGGAACGCACACATGTACTTATACACGCCCTTGTAGGTGTGTTGCCGACAGAATGGCAGATGCACCTGCGACAAAGGTTTTAGGGATACCCTCCCTTTGAGTCACAAGGTTCAGAGAGGATCACTTTGCTTTTTAGACTTCTCAGAGAAAAGTTTAGGTGAAGCTGGATCCGGATTTAATCCCAGACTTGGTCAACGGTTTATGTCTAAAGGATTATACTTATAATCAAAATGTATAGCCCTTCATCCCACTGGATCAAAGGTGCCAAAGTATATGCATATATGAAATAAAGACTTTGTTATAATTGATAGTGATAATGACAATAATGATTCATAATGTTAATACTATGATTGGGCTGAAGGACTTTAATGTCTACTACACAGTATAAATGCCTAACTACTATTTATTATAATTCAGAGCTAACTTAATAATTAAGTAGATATTGTTGTTACTCACTGATACAGGTGACTGTGGCAACTCCTATGCTTGGCCTCAAGGAGCACCCTTGATAAGTGTCCCCACTCAAGGAGGAATTTCTACATACTCCTGGGAAAGGGGTGTGTTAGAATACCTGGCACCAAAAGGTGCAACTAAGCTTTTATAGTATAAAGTGATTGACTGTATGTCATTTGTTACCAGGTTAGATTTACTAGCTCAGTGAAACATGAATAGGAACAATAACTCATTCAAAGATTAGCTATGTTTCACAAGACAAGCTGTTGTCACCTCCGTCAGGAAACATCAGTTTCAGATATTTCTTAGGCTTAATCTCATGGAGTTGTTGAGACAGGCTGGTCTTGGCATTCTTCAACACTAAAAGCAGCGTCACCCCTCCCTTCCTTATTGGTAATTTACCTAAGTAGGGTGAAATTTGAGCTCTTTCGACCACAATTAGGCAGAGTTTCCTGCTACAAACTGTACAATACTAAACTGGGGCTTTGAAAATACAAATATTTAAAAGCATAGTTATAGAAAAGCTACAGGTATCCAGCTATTCTGTTTCTGCAAAGGGAAACTCTCTGAAGAGGCAGGTTTATACTGTCCCATTTTAATGTTACATGCAATACATACACATGTGTACACATGTATACAATCAGGTTGCTATATATGTAGTGTGTACTCACACCTGCATGTGGGTAGATAACAGTTCTTCCTTGGGCTGGATTTCCACACCTGCCTCTGGGGTGCAGTTGCTAAGTCAGAATTTGCTTGCAAAAGTATAATAAGTAAAACTGGTGACTGAAGACGCAAAGCCATTTCATAGCTTCAGAATTTTCCCAGATTCTGTACTCGTTAGTGTGACCTTCAGTGATCTATGAGAGAAATGTCTGATGTCTGTTTATTTCACAGTCCACAATACTTGTTAAATGCTCTTAACTTTGAGATTCAGGCTGATGAAATTACCGTAGTACAGAAATCTGGTAAGAGTCTGATGATCCATGAAGTCCACAATGCCAAAGGGCAGTATTTGATCACAGGTTTCTTCTTTTTGGTGGTTATTGGCTCACACTGAATAAATATTGTTCATGTGCAGTTTGCAGCTCAATGGCAAATTAATGTGCAAAGCAGTGAAAATTTAATGAGGAAAGAGAATTTTATCTCTCATTTTACAAGAGAGATTCCGCTGATTGAGGATACAGTGAATGCAACCTCACTATGTTTTTAGATTTGAAAACCATAACTTCTATCCACAAATCTCATTTAGTTTTACCCCTTTAATAATTTAACCAGACTTTTCTACTTTTAGGTTGGAAAGCAGAAGAGAAGTTAGAAGTCAGCAGTCTAGTTACTACCATTAGAGAAAAAACATGGAAGCACTGAAGTTCTTGTGAGAAATCTGATCTTGGAGGGTTTACAGTTACTGTTTAAGTTTCAAAGGTTTGGATAACAAGAGAAACATCATTCTTAGTGAATCAAGACCTGAACCTTTAATGTCTGTTTCATACTATTGAGTGAAGAAACCAAATGGCGTTTGTTTATTGCCTGACACCCAAGTTCAGGATACTAGTCAGAAAGAAAAGAGGTGGAAATTTTTTGATTAACTGAAAAAAGGTGCAATTTTAACAAATCATTGAAAGCTGTATACAGCTTTTCTATACTCTCGTTAAAGAGGTCCTGCTGCTTTTCTAGTTTAAAAAGCATTTAAGTCATGGATTTGTAGTTCCTTCCTATCCAGAACCAGCTTATATTTTTAAGCCATTTGACATCAAATCAAAGATTTTTGTGAGTAATGAAAATAACTTTATTGCATACTTTATAGTTTAGACTTTGATACCTCTTGGTAAGTGTTGGATTTTTCTTTTTCTTCTTAGACTTCTCAGTCAAAGAAACAGAAAGCACCAAGAATGTGAAACAGCCTGGAAATATTTTCTCCTCCATCAAGAAGCACAACATGTCCTTTCAAAGCTTAATTGAGCAGCACAGAGCTAATTAGCTGTCCAAAGACATGCCATTTAATTCACTACCCAGCATTAATTTGTTCTACAGACTGAGCTTATCTCATATATAAATGCCTTTGCCCTGTAGCTTTCCAAACAGCTGCAATATACAAAAAAGACTGATAACTCTGTCATTTAAATGTTGCTTGCTTCCTTCACTTCTGCATAAAATACTGAACTGCGTGTGAATTGTAACTGGAAAGTTTTCATGGTCACAACAAAAAAATAATTTGTTTTTATTCTCTTTTAGCTGGAAATGATGTTATCACTCTGGGATTGAAAACCCACCATTTGAGGTTTGCACTAGATTATAGTTTACAATTTGTTAATCTAATGTGGAATTTTGATAGTATGTTGAATGGTTTCAAAGCTTTTTGAAGGTAGGTGGGTAGTAAATAATTACTTTATAATTTTCTCTTTATTGTAAAAAACCCAAGTATATTTGTTAAGCTATTATAACAGGAGAGTTGCTGCAGTTAATAAGAAAGAAATTTTATGCTGCTAATCTTTGAAGCATATAGTATTATTTTCAGAGACTAACAAATTCTGTCCCTTCTCCATCCTCAGTAAGAACATCATGATTTTCTTAGGATATGTAATGAGTTGAATTCATGAAGTGTGACTTGTCATGCCCAAATACTTAAGTCTATAATATTACACTGGGTGTCTTGCTGAACTTGTTGTTCTAGCAAATGTTTGCAATTAATTTCCTCTCCTCTTAGTACCATTTGATGTCTTTATATGTTATACTGTTTATGGGAAGTCCCATAGGAAAGAAGTCTGAAGCCTTTTTCTCTTTGCAGAGGAAAAGTTATACACTTGGTCCTTAAAACATGTTTGCAGTAAGGTGGGTTTTTTTTTTCCCTACAAATTTTTCTTTGAAGATCCATGTCAAAGAATTTGGAGATGTTTATGTGGGACCCTAGGCTTTCCCCAGGCTCTGACACATTCTCACAATCCAGCCTCCAACAGAACTTCATTTCTGGGAACACTAAAAGCTAAAGGGACAGAGCTGCTGCTTACGTGGGCTGCCAGAGACTGGGAGCAGGGAATGAGAATGTGAAAAAGAGGGTGAATGGGATAAAAAAGGCAGTATTACGGAAAGGGCTGGAAGAGACAACTGTGTTAATAAGAGTACTTTTGCCTGTGTAAAAGAACTTTTGGTAGTGAAATGAGGTGTAAATTCCCCAAATCTATCCCAAATCCATACCAAGACTAGGGATAGGAAATATTTATCTCTTCTATCAACATTTTTTTGTGCAATTCTGTCTCACAGATAGCTTGTTAAAATGGTCTATTGTGGTCAGTGACCAAGGAGTGGATAAAATCTGCTGCCTGTGAGGATGGTACACTGCAGTTGAATGCCCTATGTATCCTCACTGGCATACTCTCCATCCCATGTGTCTTTATCTTCTATACTGAGAGTCCCTCATCTGCATCTTCCTTGGCCTTGAGTTGGTCAGCTCTGTGAGGAAATAAGAAGTAATGAAATAGCATTATTATTTTTTCATATAAATTGGTTTCCCAGTGTAAACTACTGAAGCGCCAGTGATCCAGTGATTTATAAAGCTTATATATCAAGAAAAGAGGTAACGGAAAGATATTTTCCATTTCTAAACCTTAAGTAACATAAATTAATAAATAAATAAATGCATCCCTATGAATTTTACTGCTGGGTCATAATGCATGTTTTCTGTAGTTAATGCAATTCTGTATTTAGAGAAGCCAGTATTGAATTTCAGGATTTGTAGAAAGCTATGGGCACTGTCCTCTCAACCTCAGATTCATGCATTGCAGACACATGTCTGTATGAGACTTATGGGGCAGGCATCATTCATCCAGCAACTGATCCTCAACATAATCTGGTCCTGAGCTCTGCTTCCTCCATTGCCTTACCAACCTAAGGTGAAGGTTGTGCTTCCCTCGCTGACCCTGTGCAAGTGAAGAACTGCATCCCTCTCCCCTGAAAGACAGAAGTGATAATCCAATTGCCAGCTGCCCATTGTGCAAATGGAAAAGAGTATTTTTATCTAGCTGAAAGATAGAGGATGAAGTGTCACCTTCCCGGGATGACAGATGGTAAGACAAACAGTCCAACCACAGACAGTTTTCCTGAGAACATGATCTGCTTGTGCATGTTGATATTGTTGGCTTATTGAGCTGCTGATCACCTCTTTTCACTGCATGGACTGTGGCAGCTCTGGGTGTGAGGCACAGGGTGCATAGCTGGGAAAGGGCTTTCCTGCTGCTAGTATAAGTGCTTTGGGGAAGTTGTACACACTATGCACTTTGTCTAATCTCATAAAAAAGAAAAGTGGTGATAAAATGTGAAACATTTGTAGAATCCTGATATATTACTGTTTGTGGGTGAACAGCATATAACTGCTTTGCAGGTCAAGTATTAAGAACATTCAGCCTTGACTTTGTTGATTTTTTTTTTTTTTTTTAATTTAGCTCGTGTTTCTGGCTAATCTTTTGTCTTTTAAATACTTGGAGAATGAGTTAGAATTATTACTATTTATAACTGTTTCTATTTCAGGAAAGTCTGGATTATCTATTTTATTGCAACTAAATTAGTTCTTTTTTGTTGCCGAACTGTGTGATCTACATAAATAACTTCACTGCACATCCTCAGTTGCAGCAATCCTTCATTTTGGCACCCACTTTAATATCATTATTTATTCTTATCTATTACGTTCAGTGTGAGATTAAGGAAAGGTTTATTTTTTTATTAAGTGGCAACAGTTACTGATGATGGGTGACAATTTACAACTCTGTTACCGCTAAGGAAAAAAAATAAACCTTTTGTTTTTATTATGTTTTTGGAACTGATTGCTGGTATGAAAGAAATAAAAAAGTTGTACATCCAAGAAGGCTTATTGCATTATCAGGCAATACACCTGCCTAACTGATAAATAGGACTCAGCCTTGCAGTTAATAAAAAGCTGGAGTTATTTCAGGCTGAAATACAGTAGAGTAAAACAATGCAAATATTGTGCATGACAATTTCACCATCATAAGAGAATTGGAGGTCTTAGCTGTGAGTTGAAGGAAATCAGTGTTCTGCTCGAAGTCTAGACTTTTGGCTTTTCAGATTAATCTTTTCTGTTATTTTCTGAACATCAAAATGGCCAATTTTTCTTTAAAATATGTTTAATTTGAACCTGAAAATGACCCCAGGCTAATGTAAGTATTGCAAATATATAAAATCCTATAAATTTTCAATTATCTTTTTCTTAGAAAAACAAGCAAAATATCAGGATATCAGCCTTCAGTCATCCTAACAATAGGTAATTAGCTCTTAGAAAATTTTGCTCAGCAGTATTTTGCAGCCCATCATTAGACTACCATCTTGTGAAAATAAATAGCGAAGCAGAAGCAAACTGAACTATTCCCCTTCCAGACCTCCACCTCTGCCCACAGCGGCAGCACTGTGAAATAGGCCACACAAATTCCTTAAATGAGAAGGACGGACAGGGGAGCAGAATGAAGACAGTCCATAAAGAAGAAAACAACTCAAACCCACCACTTCCCCCAAGCTCCAAAGCCCTTTTTCTCTCAGACAGAAATTGTGCAGCTCCTTGTGATACCTATTGATTTTACTGACCATTTTTGAGACATCTTTGTCTTGGCAAGGACTTGAGTTTTGCAGCTTGTCAGAGCTCTAGAATGAGCTTTGGTGCTGCTCTTGCTTCCTCCTTGCTGATTTCTTTGCCTTGGTCTTCTGTAACTAAAGATAGGACTAGGCTCATGAGATGTGGTTTGAAATGATTCAAGTGTCTGTTCTCATTTAGATTTTGAGGGAAGACCACGTGTGTAGCAGTGCATGTCCTGTTATTAATGGGAAACAGAAACCCCTTTGTTATGCTACTCTACACGTTTCATAAATGAAAATTCTCAGTTCATGGTTTCCATAATTGTTTGAATTAAATTTGAGGGAAGAGGTTGACATTACAATTTTTAGGTAGGAGAAATTTATAAAGGTTTTTTTCTCCTTGTGTGCCTAGGGCAAGATTTATGGGATGATGTTGCAAAGGAGAGTTGGATTTGGCAGCTTACAAGTGCAATGAAAGTGTCTCTTACTTTTTTGCCTCAGGTACATTCACCTTCCAAATAAATTTTAAGTAATCTTTTGGGCCTTCCATGCCAATTATTCTGTTTCCTGCATATAGAAAACCTTAAAAATAGAAATTAACTGTTCATTCTTTTCCTCCATCTTGTTTCATTAGACCTTAATATGAAATTTCCATGGTTCCCATTGGACACTACGTTCTGATACCTGCCCCCTTCAAATGGGCTGTAAACATATTTACTTTGTAAATAGATGCTTTTCTCAGTTTAAGGAAATTCCAGTCTTTAAGGTCAGAGCAAGCCAGCTCAGTGAAAGAACTGCTTCGTGACTTCTGAACCTTCTAAAAGCAAACTCAAGAAATTATTGGGAAGTAACTGTCAGATTCAAAGGTATTTAGCTCCACATGGTATGTTTGCAGCTGTCTTAGAAGCTAATACAAGTTGGTGGTTATCAGAATAAGCAAACTAGGTCTTAACTCCCATTTTCTTCCATCGTTCTGAAACACTAACGCAGAAATAATTCTGCAAAACCAACCAGATTGACTGACATTGAGATTTGACAGAATAGGACAAATAAAATAAAAATTAGGAAAGTCCAGATTTTCCTGATTCAGTACCAGAATCAGTAGCGACAACAAAATACTTGTTAAAACTTCTGCTGCTTCTACAAATTTTTCTCTTATTTCTATTTGACTCCTCATGGTACTGCAAGTTGATTTATTCTTGAGATACTGGGATAAAGTTTCCTCCATAGACAGAGATTTTCCGCATCTTCAGATGCTTCAAAAACAATAAAGAATGGCTTCTCCTAAGGCTCAGGATATCAAACAGAATAGAGAGGAATGTACTTTCTTGCAACACCTTTCCTCCTGAGAAGATAAAAGCAGTTGAGTTTCTTTAATCACTAAACTGATGAGGAGGTTTCTCTTCCCTTAGTTTGGAACTGTAAATTTTCTTTGATCAGAGGAAAAGAGATTTTTTTTGGAGAAATGCCTGTTTTGTACAATGATTATAGTGTGATAACCTCATTTGTTCCTATCATAACATTTTTTTAAATAAAAGTAGCTGCTTTAATACTCACCAGTGTGACCATTCCTTATTGCTTTATGGAATATATTTGTAACAGAATGTACTAGAAAGGACTGTGTGTTTAAAACACTGCTCAGGCAAAAAAAATCACAGTATATTGAAAATACTGGAATTGCAATCAAGTTGTTTCATAAACTTTGGGACATTTCTGAGTGTCAACCTGTACTTGAGAGCAATCTTACAGTAATAAATCATTCACATGCACATAATAAAACACAAGAAATGCTATAAACATGCTTCTTTAGGCTAGGGAATCAAGGAACTTCCAGAGGGTTTTAGAAGTAGGACTGGGAGAAAATGTTTTTAAAAATTAGGAAATACATAGCACTTTGACAGTGTCATTTAAAACCTAGCAGGAGAAAAGAAGCTGACTATATGTGTTATCAGCAAGTGCTTCCCAAACAATTTAGTAAATGTACTGCTTTCTCATTTCAGTAGGCAGTATCTAGCAAGGTAAAGTGCTACAGCTTTTTTTCAGGTGTGATATCATTTGGTTCTAATGCTGTCATGAATCCATTCTACTGTATGTAAGAGTTAATGTTCTGAGAATTGGAAATACAAATAATTAAATAAGGAATCAATTTCAATAGCTTAATTGGCTGAATGTTCTTTTCCAAGTATAGAAAATGATACGTGGTAGCTTTTTGTGAGATCTATTTATTTACACAATTCTTCTATGGAGTTGCATTTACCCATTCTTGTAGTCTTGTATCTGCAACAAGCTCTTTCTGAACTGCTAATCATACTGCCTGGGTCTCCAGATAAAGTTATGCAACTGATTACAGATCTCTTTTTCTCAGTATTCCTCCTCATACAATGTTCCATATTTCCTTAAAATTTTTCAGCTGCTAAAGGAATTCTGCTGCTAAAGGAAAGCTGCTTCCAAGGAATTTGTGATGTCTTACTGGCATAATGAGTTAAGGTTTACCAGTTCTCAGTTTGTCTGTGCCCAATAAGATTTCATCATAGTCCAAAATATTGTCTGCAAAAGATCTGGATTATTTTTTTAGCTTGGTATATTTCTGTGATGTTGTAATTCAGTAATGTACTTCTCAGCACAGGAGCACTCCTACGAGACCCTCAAGGGGCTTGAATGTTTTACTGAATAAAATAACGAGTGGATTTTTATTTTCTGTTCTAAAAATTGCTGTGAGTATAAACACCTGCTCACATTCCAGACTTACTGAACTAGAGGGAGTAAACTTTAGCCAGAGACAAGAAACCTACTGCTGTGAAGGGCTTACATTTGTTGTGGTGGCTCTTGCAATGCAGCAACACACAATTCAGCAGCAAACTTGGCTCTTTGCTTAATGCTCCTACTAAAAGGTGTTAATTCTCCGTATGTGCTAGTAGTGTGTTCACTTTAAAAATTTTTGACTCATTATTTGGACTCTTCCTGTCTTTTATACAAAGGTACTCTTATCAGCTCTTGAAGTTTTGTATTGTAAGTTTTAAAATGTTTTAGAAATTATGATTTTGCAAAGGATCTTCATTTAGTGCTTTTAAAGTGGGCCTGGCCTGGAATTCAGATTTTGTTCACTTTCCATAGGATCCGAGCTATGTAATAAGTTTTAAAGTCATTGCAAGTGTAAGGTAAAGCATATCAATTTAAAATCACGCATAAGCAAACCCAGTCTGTGAAGGGCAAAACTACAGTTTGCATAGTGAGACCAAAGACAGCATTAAACATCTGGCAGCAATATAACTGGTGCAAGCAGGGGTCAGAAAACCATCCCAGGATTTAGTGCAAGTTTTCCCAGCTGGCACCTGTGCTATGGCAGGAGTACCAGCATCAGTACCTTACACAGTTATCTAGTGTAGAGAAGCCTATCTGAATTACAATCATATCTTTGACTGAACTAAAGACAAGTTCTGAGCATTGAAGTCACTTTTGAAAATGAAATTTAGCCAAGTTTAAAAATTGGATTTCCCTAGTCTATTGAAGGTTCCCAAAGGACCAGCCAAGTGGGACGGAAAGCAGGTTTATAAATGAGATATGTTATTTACTGGTGGAACATTAGGGATGTCACTGGCAAAGTGTTTTGAACAAGTCTTCCACTGAAATTATTAGTGAGATAGATGCAGAAAAAAGTAACTTCATA